CGATTTATAGGCAGGGGTAGATCTAAAGGCTAATCTAGGGGCAGTAATAGGGGTAGTGTTAGGGGTAGTTATCGAAATAGTAGTCGGAGCCGTGGCGGATATAGTAGTTAGTCTAGGAGCGGGCGGAGGTAAGGCCGTAGCCCTGATATCGTGGTTCCCCTAATAAAGGGTAGTAGAAGTGGCGGGTGTGAGAATAAGGGGAATAGCCGGTAAGGGAGCCTTATCGTCGGAGTCGCTAATAACGATAACGGGGGTAGGCTCGTAATACTAAGTCTAAGTATCTATAGTGTTTTAGGTATAAGTGCGAGGGGGTAGGCGAATAATAATAATAGGGTTAGGGCGTTTAGGGAAAGGTTCTTTGAACTAATCATTTAGCGAGAAGATTCTATAAGTATTTTAGATACTAGCTAAATTATTATATATATTATCTTATCTTAATAAGAGTAATAAAGTCTTTAATAAAAGGGCGGTCCTAGGATTTACTCCGTGATATTTGTCTTCGGGGTTAAGCTTTTCTAACTCACCTTAAAGGAAAAGACCTTTTATAATTAGGAGATTACCTATTAGTAAAGGGACTATACTCACGGATATTAATATTAGTAATATTATACGCTAAGTCTTATAAAGATGTATTATAACTTACTTACGGGGTCCGTAAAGGTTTTATCTATTAGATTATCGGGTCCTTATATAAGGCCTTATTATTTCGTTCCTATACTCGGTATTAGTCTTTTCTTTAGTTTATCAGGGGTTTATTACGCTAATCCGTGTAAGCTACTCTCGGCGGTCTTATCCTTTCTTCGCTATTATACGAGAATCTATTTTAATTAGTAGTAGGGGTTATAAGCCCCTTATCGAGTCTATTCTATATCCGGAATCTAACTCTATTATAATCTAATCGGTTTCTTCTGTTCCTATAGTTACTACCTCCGCGGTGGCGGGGCTTATAATTACAAGTGCTAAAGGTGCTTCCTATCTTACCTATATAGTCGTTTCTTTTTCTCTAAATCTATTAGGGTAAATATCCCCTTAGTCTTAAAGCGTTAAATCCTTCCTTAGTTATTATCTTTATATTCTTTAGCGGTCGTTAACTAATAGTCCATTTAGGAGGGCCGGAACCTCCCTCGAGCGCCTTTATTACTTTAATTAGGGTTAGAATACTTTGGGAACGCCGAATAAATCCGCCTCCGAGTACTATATTATAACTAGATAAAGACGTAGTGGTACTAGATCGTTAAGATAAAGATTAGATAAAGAGGTTAGTCTAGTAAAACCACGATATATAACTAAAACATAACTAATACTATTATAACCTTTAGCGAAGAAGTAGATCGGTAGTCACTATTCTGATTAGGGTACCTTAACCGTAGAATATGTAATTACAAAAGAGGATGATAAATAAATGATAATCCCTTGATAGGATTATCCTGAGCCTGTCCTTAATGTATATATAGGCAGTGGATCCGGCGGCCTTGAAAAGGGGGGTTATATAACAGTCTGCCGAAACCACTCTAAAGCCGTATCTACGCGGTTATATCACTAGGTATTAGTTATCCTTGGATTATAGCCTATTATTACTCCGTTTATTTCGATAATACATAGGAATAGATAATTAGCAGGTACGTTTCGATATCCAGCAGGTAAAATATAAATATACAGAGATAAGCTCCTTTATACATAAACAGGCTACTACTATCGGGGTCCCGGGTACGTAGGTATAAGCTATAATATTTACGCGTAGCTCTTAATTCCCTCGTAGCCTTATATTATACTACCTTACCTACCTTACCTACCTTACCTACCTACCTAACCTACCTAACCTACCTATATTAACGCCTCTATCGACGCCACGATTAATAATGGATTTAGAGCCCGGCGACCGCCTTTACGCCCCCCCCCTCCCTCTAGCCTCGTTTTTATATCCAGGGAAGAGGCAGAACGGCTATTCGGTCTTACGCGTTCTCTAATAGATATAGCTTCGTTATCGCCGAATAGTATCCTTATAAGGGCGAGGCTATACATGTAACGTATCGCTATAGAAAAGGCGGAGCTTTTTAGGCCGTTAACGTCTTCGATACCTATACCACTAAGCGCCGTAAAATAAGCTCGTAGATAACTAATTACCCTTTCCGTATATCTATTAAGGGCAGAGATAGGCCATAGGTTATGTAACCTATTAATAGTAGTGAGGCCTTTACTTATAATCACGGCTTTCTTAAGGCATCTTCCTTTCTATCCTTCCAAACCTCCTAGCTAGTAACACGTAAAGATAAGGTCGCTACTATATAGAATAGCCGTATTCGGCCCTATTAGATTATAACGAAGCTTTATAATCCTAAAGTGGTAGAGGGGGGACCTCTTAAGGATATCTCGAGTCGAGATATCCTTAACCCACTTAGCCGATACCGATATAAAGAACTAGCTAGCTATACCCTACTCTAGTAGCTCTACGAGGTAAGTATATACGTCCCTTCTTTATATCTAACTATATACTAACTATATAGTAATTAGAGAATAATACTAAGTACTTTTACCGCGATTTAAAGGACGAATAAGGTCGAGTAAAGTGCTTGTTTCTTACTTCCCGCTCTGCCTAAAAGCTCCTTAAATACTTTCCTAATATACTAGTATTCAATTATACCTATAAGACTAATAGGTTTAATATACTCCTACTTAATATATACGGTATATCGCTATTACGCAAGGCGTTCTAGGGTTATTTATGTCTTTATCGATAGCGAAAAAGAGGAATAATACACGTAGGCTTTTAACTACTTAGCTAAATACCTTAGCGAGAGATTCTCTTTCCCGCGTTACTTTATTTCCGACCAGGAGCTAGCCCTAATAAATGTGTTAGATAACTAGTAAAAGTTAAGATATATTCCCTATATTCTATACCTCTAGCACGTTAATATAAATATCCTTGCTAAGTATAAGTAGTATTTTCCGAAGCTAATAAAGGTCGGTAATATAATTAAGTGCTACCTAATCTATACTACTTTCCCTAAGGCCTAGAACGCCTTAATTACTTATAGCTGGGAGGATAAATTCACGAAATAACTTAGAGAGTTTTAACGCTATAGTAAGCACCTAGCTCTTATAGTTAATTACGCTATAAAAACTTAGATTAGCCTATTTAAGGAGAAGATTATTCGTTACTAGGTTAATTACTAGCCTTACTTTAGCCACTCCACGACTTCTATTATTAAGGGGTCGTATACTAGCCTTAAGTTATTCCTTTATAGCTCCTCGGGCGACCTAGTAATAGTATTCCGTAACCTATGTCTTTTCTAGCATCACCAGAGCCGGGAGCTTCTTATCAGAGGTCTTTAAGAATAAATAGGGTATAGTTTTTTATGGGGGGGATTCTCTTTAGCTTTATTAGACAAAAGGTTATACCCTAAGCTCTATAGAAGATCTATACTAGCCCTATTCTATTCTACGCTGCCTAGACCTGCCTTACCATTACGTACTTCTTATCTATCTATGTAGTAAGGAGCCGTTAACTTAATCGTCGATTCATCGATACTAGTAGTAGAATCGTGGTAAGATAAATACGATGATTCCTGGCTCCGAGACTCCTAGACCCTTTAATCCGATAATTATACGCGGAAAAGGCCGCCTAAAAGGCGTCGTTAAAATATCTGATTTAAGTTATAAAGAAGGCTATAGTAAGACTAGCACGAAAAGGGCTTTATTAGATTTCGATGTTATATAAGCAGAAGAGCGTCGCGAAGTAACTACCCTCCTACCTTTACCGGCGTCTATAGATCTAGCTACGACGTTTAAGCCTGGAATATAAGCCCTAAGGCGTAGCGCCCGTATTTTTAACGACGATTTTAAGGAAGAGTCTTAAGAAGAGGAGGAAAAGACTAAGGTTAATCTGACCGATTATCGCGAGGGCGATATTTCTGCCTACTTTAAGGGTTAATCAGATAAAGACCTATATCTACGTAAGGTAATAAAGAGGGCGATTACGGACGCTGCTCGGGAACTAATAGAACTTAATAAGATAGTAATTTAAGGCTATTTACTTACCTAGGTTAGTTACTCTTTTGCTTTATAAATACACTGAATTAAGAGCTACGCGTAAATATTATAGCTTATACCTATACACCCGGGACCCCGATATTATTAGGCTGTTTGTATATAAAGGAACTTGTCTCTGTATATATATATTTTACCTGCTGGATATCTAAACGTATCTGCTATTTATCTATCCCCTAAAATATATAGCTATCCTTAGATATCAGACTATACTAACTTTGGCCCGGAGGTAGTATAGGTAATAATATATAAGTACGGATAAGATATATTACCAGTGTAAATTTTATATAAATATATATAAATGAGATTTAATTATACTTTATATCTATATCTGTCTATACTAGGAAAACCAAGAAGTCCTGGTCCTGAAATACGCTCACGGATACTGCTGCTATGGAAGAGGTCCTGCTGTATAGGAGAGGTCCTGCTATAGAAGAGGTCCTGCTATAGAAGAGGTCCTGCTTTGTGGAAGAAGTCAGCTCTTCGTCACGATATCGTGGAGGGAATCTACCTATATATTATTATAGAAGAGGCACTGGTATTATAGAAGAGGTACTGCTATGTGGAAGAGGCACTACTATATAGAAAAGGTCCTACTATATAGAAAAAGTTAGCTTTTCGTCACGATATCATAGAAGAAATCTACCTACCTTTACTGCTATGGAAGAGGTCTACTATAAAAGAGGTCTGCTATAGAAGAGGCTGCTATAGGTACTAGAAAAAGATATATATATAACATAGTTACCCCTGCCCCCTTGCCCCTGCCCCCTTGCCCCTGCCCCCTTGCCCCTGCCTTTTAACGATAGCTTCGTGAAGTCGTATAACTTTAATAGACTAATAAAATCACTGTAAAGTGAAATTCCCGTACTTCCTATTAGTTAATAATTAAGGACTACTGTATATTAAAGGATAGAACGGAGATCAAGGATAATAGGGCTTTTCCAAGGATAACTAGGGGTTCTAAGCATAACTCTTTTCCTTATTTTCCTACTAAGGTACCTAAGGTAGGGTATGTTCTTTTTTCCTTCTTCCCTTCTCTTCCGACTCAATAATCACGACTCGGCCAAAATCCTGGATATAGTAGACGTCGGCATGCGCTTCAAACCCCCTTTCCGCGTCACATCGCGATGATCAACGCGATACTTGAGTTTCACGCCCATGGCTGCCAGCTCAACATCAAGGAATTTGAGCGCTCCCGGGACAACCACGATGGTTGTGTTGTCTCCGCCGACCCACTGGTTGCCCTGACCGTCTTCCCAGATTTCCCCCTCCGATTTATTACTCTCCAGCTCCAATGAGTCCAGCCGACGGGCACAGTTCCGGCAGCGGACTGTGCCGACTTGTTTCCTCTTCCCCACGAATGGCGATACAGTCGGCTGCACAGAGAGGAACGATCCGCAGCTCCGGCAAATCCAAGTTCGAGTATAGTCCGAACAGTTAAGCAGGCGGTCCTGCAGCAGGAATGCGGTGCCGTGGGCTAAAAGCGCGTCTCGTTCCATCTCTCCCACGCGAACGCCACCACCCCTCTTCCGGCCCTTAATAGGCTGACCCGTGGTCGGAACGATAGGCCCCGTCGTGCGGACCTGGTACTTGTCGTTGACCATGTGACGAAGCCGCTGGTAGTACACAACTCCGATGTAGATGTCAGCGGCAAACTCCTCCCCGGTAATCCCTGAGTACATGGGCTCATTTCCGTGAAAGTTATAACCAGCCTTCATGAGTTGGTGACCAAAGTAATCCGCAGCCGTATCTTCTTCGTTGAACTTGAACGGTGTTGAGTCCTGGGCAAGGCCGTGGAGTGCGCCCGCCTTGCCTGCTAACGACTCTACGAACATACCAATCGTCATTCGGGAGGGAAAGGCGTGTGGGTTGATGATAACGTCTGGTTGTATTCCCGACTCGGAGAATGGCAAGTCGACAGCCGGCCACTTTTGGGAGCAGACGCCCTTCTGACCGTGTCGTGATGAGAATTTGTCTCCAATAACGGGCGAGCGCGGCACGCGAAATTTGATGGACACAGTCTGCGCCGGCTCGGTGCCGTTCTCGTTTCCAATAAGACGAACTTCCTCAATGAAGGCCTGTTCTGAGTCCTTGTATTTCTCAAAGTGAGTACGGCCATCCAGGTTGGACAGCTTGCCGTCGAATTCCGCTGATACAGTGTGCCAAGCACATACCACGTCCCCTTCCTGCACCATGCGGCCGACGAACGGTAAGCCGTCTTCATCAAGAAGACCGCGATGATAGCCCTTCACCAACCCTCCCGGTGCAAACCCGAAGAGTTTCGTGACCTGCTTAGCCGTCCGACTCCTCGACTCTTCTTTGAGTGAGATCACCTTCGTCTTGTATATTGTTCCGTGACCGAAGCCTCTTTCGTCGGCTGACTTGTTGATAATCATGGCATCGTCCATGTCATATCCGGTGTATGATATAACCGCAACAATTGCATTGGTCCCGTTGGGGAAATTGTCGAACCCGTAGGTATTGTGCAGGGGAGACCTTACGATCGGCGTTTGGCCAGTCTGGAGCCTGTAGAGCTTGTTGTCCGTCCGATATCGCAACGCCGTTGCAGGAGTTCCCATCGTCTGCTTGCCCATCTGACATTGATACATGTTCCGAGGAGACTGATTAAAGTCTGAGAACGGTGTCATGTTGGCCAAGATAGAAAGCATGTTCGTGGGAGCAAACTCGACATGCGTTGATTCACCAGACACGATCTCTTCCTCTACAACAGCGATGGACATGTAGGGCTGCTCGTGGGGGCCCACAAAGTCTTCGCGCTGGAGCGGAAGATACTTCACAGGCCTTACCATACGCGCCGGCTTGGATGCCAAATAGATGCCGGGATAAGAACCTCCGTGCGATGGAGGCACATACCCGATCTCGAGATGGACAGCTACGCCATGAGTTCCTTCGACTTTCCAGTATCGAAAAGTGTCCGCGACCCGCCGAGATACCTGTGGCGTGCACCAACCAAGAATCCTACCGTCGAGCATGATAACTACACTCTCGTCGGTCGATGCAGATGAGCCGTCCACGGCCCCAAGGGCCGTCACGAGAGTAGGCAATGTTGAGACGTCGACCGCCTCGGTCATGATTTGGCACTTGTGGGAAAGATGATTCAGGAGGCCACACGGTGCACCATCAGGGGTGTGAACCGGGCATAGAAAACCCCAAGACTCCGGTAGCAGCTTCCTCACGGTCGTTGTTTTGAGTTCAGCGAAGAAAGCACCGCGGTGAATCATCCTGAAATGGCTGATGAAACGGAGAAAGTTGAGCTTCTCCGCCACGACGGTATACCCAGCCGTCTGCTGAAGATCCAAACCCGAAGGACTGGTCAAATTTCCTGTAGAGAGGAAGTACTCGAGTCCTGGACCAATGCCCTCATTGGCAAGCCGGAAAATGGTTGAGGGGAAGTCTTTAGCGAAATCCTGGGATGTGAAAACTCGGCTGGGGAACTTCCTGTGATACTCCCTAAGGGAAGCACGAACCGACGTCGCCAGAAACTCATCCAGGCGTTCCTTCAGGATCATTCCGTATAGGAAACCGCCGAGCAGCACTTCTTGGTTCTGCACCGCGTCCGGGTTGTCCACCGAACACTCCCCGGCGACCAGGGCATAGAGTTTGCGAATCATGAATACCACCATCTTGAACTTGTCGCCGTCCTGCCGCGGGATGACATGGACATTTCCGAGGTGGACAAGAACCACTCGCCTGAGAAACTCGGTGCCGGCATCGTAGTGCGACATCAAGTCAGAAACACCCAGAACAACTCGGAACTTCTCACCAAGATACGATCTCGTCTCCGACTTGCTATACAAGCCGTACGATTTGTATGTTCTCAAAAGGAGCTCGACTCGATCCGTGAGGAACGTGTTCTCCGCGGATTTGCTGCCCGGAGGGCCTATCAATCCCTCGAAGATTTCTCGATCATTCGTTTCCACGAGGGCTTTCAGAATCATGACAACCGGAACAAGATATTCGTTTTTCCTCCAGGAGAATCGGAAGGTGATGATGCCGTCACTCAAGTAATGGAGGACATTAGTCTGAGACGTCTCGTCGGGTCGAACAGAGCGGATGATGATGCCATAGGGGGTGTAACCGGAGCCACGGTTGGTAAAACTAGGTCGATATATGGCCATGGGAAAGTTTCGCCTGTTCACCTGCAGGAGACGGATAATCTTCTCAATGCCATTCACGATAAAATAACCGCCCAGCTCTTCTGCCTCTTCTTTTCTCTTTACTAACAGGTCGGGCGGGGTGTTCTCGAGGTGGCACCTGTTTGACTTGAAGGGACGTAAGTTTGGAGAACCCCCAAGATCGAGGTTCGACTTACTTTGACCATGATAGGCATAGAGCCCAGGTCTCGAGTGAATTCTTGCGGGTCGCCATCATTGATGCGATACTCGAATGTGGCAGATAATTTGCCCCGGTAAGTAACATGGCGTTCCCGGCACTCAGCTGGATACACATCCCTGTTCCTCGCAAATCTATTCGATGGAGGCAGCTGCGATTTATGTAGCGACACACTCTTATACTTGATCGTTAACCGGTTCCTTCGGTCTTGCGAGGTTTTGTCATCGCCGTCAAGGTATATCTTTTCGTCAATGTCGGCAAGGGCATGTTCGACCAGTGTTGGTTGGATATCGCTACGAAAAAGGGCATTGAAAGAATTGATGTGAGGGGCGACTGCTGCCTGCAAAGCAGGGTACGCTGTGTGATCCTTCGGGGGATTTTTGAAGATGTTCTCTCTGCGAATTGTGTTATACTCGTGATCCCAGGTGGTGTTAGTTGCTGAAGGAGCCATGTCGTTCGTTAGCCTGGGCTATTACAGTGGTTAGCGAAGGACGCTCTCCCGTCGGCAGTAAGAAGGAAGTGGAAGGGAATCAATCTGACTGCTCCGTACAGTCGTCGGTCGTCAGTCCCTCTTTCGAATAAGAAATGTCCGATTCTTCTCAGGGAGGGTGGCGAGTGGTGACGGGAGCAATGTGTGACGGATCCAAGGCACTGGAGGTGAACAGAAACCCGGGTGCGGAAATGAAAAAAAAAGTATTTGAAGGAAAAAAGGAAAGCTAAGGCCCCATTCGACAATTTCATCAACTTGGTAAGGCCCCCTAAGTCAGCGAAAAAATGCATAACCTATGACCCACCGACAGCATAAGAACCCCTTTTACATAATGTTTTTAGTGTAACTGCATTTTTTTATGTATTACTGTCAGAATATGTGTCAGCATATAAATAAGGTACATAAAAGATATATGTGTATTTATTTAAGTGAAGTTTGTAATACTTTATAGGGATATCTAACTGTACGGAAAAAGCAGGGGAAATAAGAGTGGATATATAGGACCGAGGTACTCCACACGTATCGCATAGGTACACGGACCACGACGTGGTCTATAGGGGATCCAGGGGGGATCCACGCTATAACTAAGGGCTTCGGATATCGGGGACCTTAGGTATCAGGATATAACAGGGGCGGGTACCGGAAAAGGTCGGATAAGATCTAAATGATATAGTACCTATAACAGAGTCTTTACCACTTAAAGTAAGGGTATAAGAGACTCTCCTAGATATAATTTAATATAATATATATACACGAGATTTCTACTTTACTAAGTTAATTATCTAAGTGCTATTTAACGTGCGATAGCGTATACTCCCTCTATAATAGCCTTAACCGCTATTATCGTGTCACGGTATCTCCGATTATATATCTATCCGGTAAGGAGGAGTCGGTGCTCCTCCGCTATAGTTATAATTCTCCTTACTATTATCTTCTTAAGGACCTTCCCCGTCACGCTAAGGAGTAATATCGGTTATTACCCCGAGGCTATTATATAAGCTTCTTTTAGTTTACTTAGTTTTTTAAGTATTACTACTTCTACGGTAGAGTATTATTATAGGAAATATACGGCCTTAAGGCTCGCGGAGAAGAGTTATACTAATCGCCTATAAAGTGGTTAGCTATAAGCGAGTAAGAATCCGTTTAGTAAGCCGTCCTCCCCGGGTGCCTTCTAATGTACTATTTATTATATAACCTGCTAGACCTCCTCTTCTATAACCTCCTATATAAGTAGTATTACCGCCGTCCTTAGCGCGCCGCCGATACGCCCGCTTTCCGTGGGGTATAAGGGGGGGAAAAACTTCTCTATAAGGATTATCGCTTTCCCGTTATATATTATCGTGACTGGTCCGCCCACGCTATACTATAGGGGCGGGATAGATAAGAGGTTTAGGGGTAAGTACCTTACTATCTGGGCCTATCGTTATAATACTTAGAGGCTTTTTTAGTCTATTATAGTCGTATTAACGGCGCCGCGTTAGCTCTTCCGCTTCTTTATTCTAACTAGAATATCGCGATATTGTTCTGCCTCCTTAAGTTTATTCTACTTACCGCGCGACCTCCGCCCGTAGTAATATCGAGTTAGCCTCATTACCTCCTTATTCGCCTCTACTATCTGCTATATCTATTATAACAGCCTATCGCGGAAGGCGGCCGGCTTACGGCGCGGCGCCGTAGCGTCCGCGATACTAATAAGGTCCTATAGTATCTAGTTTACTACCTAGTCGATTACTTCCGGGGTAAGGGGTATTTCTCTATAGTCTAGCCTCCAGGCCTCTCTCTAGGCCGCTTCCTAGTCTAACCTCCTTTACCTTTATCCTTTACTAGCGATACGCTAGCGCGGTTATACTATATCGATATTAATTACCTAGGCTATATAGTCTAAGCCTATTAGGTCTAAATAGTCCCCTTAGTATATATAGGTAAGGTCCGCCGAAACCTAAGTAAGGTCTAGCGTGCTATACTATCGATTAGTATTAGCCGAGGTCTTAGTAATATATCCTTTCTGGGTTATAAGGTCGAGTTATTATCGGTGCGTAAGCGTAATAAGGTCTTCCGATTATCTTTCGTATCTATTATACCCGTCCTAAAAGGGGTTCTTTAGGTTAAAGTCTCTTACTAGGACGGTACGCTACCGCTCCGGTTCCGCTATAAGGGTATATATTAGGGTCTCCTACTCTCCTCCCTTATAGTATAGTAAGTATACTACCTATATACTTATCTCTTACTGCTATATCCCGACTCTAAGTATAGCCTAGGCCTAATCCTTACCTATACGCTATATAAACGTAGCGGCCTTATACCGCTTATATATATAGAATAGGGCGCGCCTACTCCCCTATACTATCCTATAATTATATCCCCTTAGGTACATCGGGTTCTTCCTTTTATCTAACCCGGGCTTTATTACCGCTATTATATCGTACCCGCTATAGTCATAAAGCGCTTATTATACTCTATCCCGCTATCCCCCTATATTATACTAAGTGATTCAAATTATTTATCTTAGGCGGCTACGCCGCGCTCGCTTCGCTGTATAGTTACGCCTTAGGTATAGCCCGGGGGTAGGGGATAAGGCTTTATAGGCGCTAGAAGGTAGTATTAGAGGCGAGGAACCTTATAATATTATTATCCTAAGTAGGCGTAGAGAGGGCGGTACGCGATTTAAGGAGGATATTCCGCGACCCTAAAAGACGTCCTTTTTATTTTCTCTTTTTCTCGGGCGGTCCGGGGACTACTATCGTGTTTAGCGATACTATAAAGACGCTATACTCCCTCTCCGCCCTATATTCCTTGAGTTAGCTAAGGTTAAATCCCCTTACCTTACTAGTATATACCTCCTTAGTCCACGCTCTTTCCTTTACTTTACTTAGGTATTTATTGTTAAACGCTATATACGGCCCTTTATAGGCGGCGTAACGTCTTTTCTTTAGGTCCGTCTTAGCTTTATACGCCGCGAAGCCCCCTTAATACGCCGACTCTACGCCGCTATAATACCCGTATAGCGCTTCTATCGCCTAATATTAACCTGCTTTATATCCGAAGTTAAGGCACTTAAAGCACTATTATAAGGAGATCTCGGGGTTATAGGGTTCGCTATTATAGTATCCGTAATTAAAGAAGACTCCCTTTTTTACTAGTTGCTCTGCGTCCTCGGGGCGGGCGACTTTAATAGTTAGTAACGCTACCCGCGCTATATTATTCCTGGGTTTCCTAGTCTTAATCCGGGTAATCGCTATATTATTCTATAGCCAAAGTTCTTATAGCGCCGTATCGGGTTTATAAGTTAGTAGCTACGCTATTAATATTCTTTTTACTATAACTTAATACGTTTTCTTATATATTATAGCTCCTATACCGAATAGGCCTTTAACCTAGTTATTTATATTCGCTATCTATTATTCGTTCCCGTACTTAAACGTGATAATCACGTTATTACTCGGGAGTCACCGCGCGGCTATTATATCTACGCGGCGGGTAACTTAATTAACCGCCTTAGTAATCTTTTATAGGGTTTAGCTTTTAAGGTCGGTCTTAGTATGTCCGTATCGGACTATTAGTTCTCGGGCGTATCGGGTAGGTATATCCTTTACCGGTGCTATCTTAATACGTTAGCGCTACGCGGGTATACTCCCTACTACTTAGGCGTGGATCTTAGGTCCTACTACCCCGAGTAATTCCGTTAATATACCCTTAATCGCTTATTAGATTATATCGGTAAGCCTTTTAGTTATAAGGGGAGGTATATCGTTACCGAGTTATTAGCGTAGCGGCTTTGCTATAATAGTCTCGTAGTATTACGGTTAAGAGATCTTCTCTACTAGCTTTAGCGCTTTATCGGCGTTTACCCTATTAGCTAGTAGTCCGGAAAATTAGGTGCGTAGTTTATATAGTACGCTTTCGGTACGCCCGCTTAATACCTAGGATTTTTAGGGCTCTCCCGGGGCTACGCGCCCCGGGTTAGTTCTAGTCGTCATATTCTAGGCGCTCTATAATAGTATGCTAGTATCGTGTTCGGTTAGCCCTACGGGGCACCCTATAGTATATAACCCACCGCGCCCTCTACGGTCTCCCTACGATATCGGTCTCCGGTGCTTTTAAGGGCGTAGATTCCGAATCCGATATCAGAATTGAGTTTATCGATAATACGGCACCTTAGGGTCACTTTCGGCTTGACGATGCCCTTTTTTATTTTAAACTATATTTTCCCCTTGAATAATTAAGCGCTCCTTTTCTTCTATCCCCCTTCTTCCTCTTTTATCTCCTTTACCTTAGACAGTTAGGTATTATTATAGTTATTACGGGACTATCGGGTAGGGATAATTAAAGTGGCGAGCGGGTGTACCCTAGAACTTATTTAAAAAAACAAAAAAAAAAAAACAAAAAAACAGAAGGTTCTAGTCCTCCCTATATATCTTTAACCGCATACTACGTATATAGATCTTTAATATAACCCCTACCTCCTAAGAATACATACTACGGTTATAGATTATTGGCGTAACCCTCTAACTCCGAATCCAAGGGTATAGATACTTAAGGGCCATTCCTGTTTTCCTCCGTATATACCTTATTCTGCCTGGTAGTAGTAACGTTTTTACTCGCGTGGGTGTTATCCCTTTCCACCTTTTACCCGTTAGTAGATAGCGTATTATCAAAGAGAATAATAGGAGGCTTAGCCTTTTATTACTTTTTCTTTTTCGGTAAAGGTATTAACGGCATTATCTTCTTCTTAGGCGTCGCCTTTTTCTTAGCCACCGCCTTCTTCTTCGGCGCGGGAGTAAGCGGCACGGGCTCGGATTCGAGAATATTATAAGGGTTAAGGGGGCCTTAGAAAGTATTACCCTTATTGGCGAATAGGTCGGAGGGTATAAAAGCGGGTAGGGGGATATCTAGCTATAGAAAAAAAGGTAGGAGAGGAAGAGAAGATAGTGTACTAGGATGGGGGATTATTAGGGGGTTATATAATATACTAGTAATACCCCTCTTAAACGCGATAGCGAGGTACTCTTATACGGGGATTTACTAATTCTATTAACCATTATACCGGGAGAGCGATAACGCTATATCCTAGAGAGACTTAAGGATTTTTTCCGCTGTTTTCTAACAGGCGTTATTAACTTCTTCCTTTACCCGATAAACAGTATAAGACTTATCGGCGGCGGTAAAAGTT